CTTAGTTTTGTGACTTTCTCCAGTGATTATCAGGAATCTAAGGTCAAGGTGGACGAATCAAATAGGGGCTATCTAGGCTAAAGTATTAGTGGGTCAGAGGACAAAGGGATTGTAGGATGGAGACAAATGAATGATTAGTGTCAGACCATGGAGTCATTGTTGGGTAATGAAGCAAAGTTAGGGGAGATGGACTGGGAGAACAAGTAGGGTTGGGGGACTCCATGTTGCTATTGTGTGTTGCCTGGTAAATTTCACAGATAGTGGTATGTCTGAGCCTGCTTATTCATTGCGTTCATGGAGGCTAATGGGAGCAATGACGGCATGAGTAGTTCCTAAGCAGGTAGGAGTCTGGACACATGGGTGCAACTGATGCATGGTCATGTTTAAAATTTGCATACATTTGTGCAGTCCTGAATGCAATAAATTACAGTTATATTCCCTGTCTCCTTGGACTCCTTATCTGTTCACTGCTTCTGTACTCTTTGCAAGCTGAAGTCCTAAAGGTAACTCCCACCAACTCCTTCTCAGATAATTGTCATCCTTTGGTTTTGACCCTGCTTCCATCTCTGACACTGCCTTCTGTCTCTAACCCATTTTCAGCCAGCCATATGCTTCATCTGGCTTTAAGCCCCTAAACATCATCTGCTCTGAATTTCTCTATTAGTTCTCCCTCCTGTTTGGGACAGGAGAGGTTTCTGTCCTCAGCACAGACTTAGGAGTTCTGAGATTAGAAAATAGATTTCAAAGTCCAGAATCTTACTGGTAGTACAATTCCATTAAAATGGTGAAGTAGCATGTGTGACAATGCCAGGGTTTGGTTTATGGGGAGTAGGAAAGGAGGTCTTCACAACTGAGCAATTTGAGGAACTTTGTAGTCTGGGTGTTAGAGGGTCCTCAATATGAATACTGAAGTCCCTGAGGATGCTGAGGATGTGGTTAAAAAAAATAAAAGACTTTAAGCCAGGTGTTAAAGTTTTCAAAGAAGTACAGTGCTTTGGAGACTGACTGGCAGACGATAGCATCAGGGATTGGAAGAGGATGGTATGAATAAATTGCATGGATTTAGCAAGAGGGTGGGATAAGGGATGCCTACAAGATCAGTTTAGTTGGCAGGTAGCATATATATGAAGGAGTAATATGAACTAAAGCTAGATGAGGAGGCTAAGGTTACAATGCGGAGGCCTTTAAATGACAGGCCAGAGAATTTTCATTTTATCCTAGAGGCAAGAGAAAACCACCTTTATAAGGCTTTTGAGCATTGCCAGATCTGTACCTTAGGAAGATGATTTTGATTGTTCTATAGAGGATGATTAGAGATGTGGAAGACTGAAGGTGACTACACTAGTCCAGAGAAGAAGTGATAAATTTTCCATTCATAGTGGTGATCTTGGGACAGCTAGGTGACACAGTGGATAGAGCACCAGCCCTGGAGTCAGGAGGACCTGAGTTCAAATCCGGCCTCAGACACTTGACACTTAACTAGCCATGTGATCCTGGGCAAGTCACTTAACTCCATTGCCTAGACAAAAAAAAAAAAAACCACCCCCAAAAAAACCACAGCGGTGATCCTGTGAATAAACAAAAGGGAACAGATACAAGAGATGTTTTAGAAGTAAAATAAAAAAATTAATGGATATGACAATGAAGGAGAAGGAAGACTAAAGGGCTACTGCAAGATTGGGAACCCAGGTTCCTAACCCTGGGAGAAAGGTTGTGCTCTCAACAGAAATGGGGAAGTCTGGAGGAGGGGAAGGTTAGGTTGAGATAATGAGTTGTGTTTCTTACATTCTGAGTTTGAGATGTTGATGAAATGTCCAGGTATAGATGCCCAGCAGGTAAATGACAACATAAGACTGAAATTCAGGAGAGAAGTTAGGGCTGGATATATCAATTTGGAAGTCATTTCCATACTGATGACAGTTGAAACCAGGGGAGTTAATTAATTTAGTAGGACTAAGCCTGACTGGACAAGCACGAAAAAGTGGGGATGAAGAAAGAAGATGATAAACAAAAGATACTGATAAGAAGCAGCCCAAAAGAGAAGAGTGTCATGAAATAGTGATCACTGGTATTTACATTATGTTTTGATGTTTATAAAATATTTTATATACATTATCTCATTTGATCCTCACAAGATCCTTATGAGATAGATGCCATTATTATCTTTACCTTATAGCTGAGGAAACTGAGACTCAGAAAGGTTGTGACTAGCCCCCAGTAAATTTCTTTAGTGAGATTCAAATCCAGATCTTCCTAACCCCAAGTCCAATGCTCTATCCATCTTCCTACGATGCCTCTCTCTAGGAGCCAAGGAAAGAAATAATATCTAGGAGGAGGGTGTGATCAATAATATCAGAAAGGTGAAGAGAGGTGAAGGATGAGGCTTGGGAAAAGACCACTGGGTTAAATAATTAAGAGATTTGTAATCTTTGAAGGAGGGGTTTCAATAGAAAAGGAAATAGAAGCAGCATGGATAGATGAAAAGAGAAGAGATAGGATTATATCTTGAGGGGAAAGCAGACCAAATGAAGATTTATTTAAGGATGAGAGAGACATGGGCATGTTTGTAGGCAGCAGGAAAGGAGCCAATAGATAAGGAGAGGTTAAAGATGAGAAGGGGGTAGAGGGGCAACTACTTTCTCAGAAATAGGAGTAAAGGAGGAGAGGCTGAATAACAACGTAGAGGAGTTCTGAATTGTGGAATAAGGGAGATTTGGGAATTCTCAATAGACAGCTTCTATTCTTCTCAGAAAAGTCAAAGGCAAGATCTTCTGTGAGAGAAGAGGGGCAGGAGGTGTAGTTGGCTGCTTAAGGAGATAGGATAAGATCAGGGAATAAAAGGACTACCATAAAGTTATGAGGGCACAACTGATATCAGAAAACATGAATTTGTGGTGGTAAACATGCTTGTAAGACTGCTTCCAGTGGGAGAAGTCAATGGAGAAGTTAGATGATGTGGGTGACTCAGAGTTGAGGGCTGTGACAGGATGGGAATGGAGGTGCAGGACAAGAAAGCAAGAGAATCAGAGAAGACGTTCTATCATTAAATAAGTAAACAATAGAGCTAAAACTGTAAAGGGGGGAGAGTGAGACCAGAGATGGCTTGATGACCTAGGAGAGTAGGGAAGAATAATGAGACATGAAAAGGCTTAGTGAATCCGAGGGAGAGACAGAAGGATAGGGCATTATGATCAGCAAGGAGAATTTAAAATTCAGGATCACAGAAGGCACAATTATAGGTGATAAAGAGATCTAAGGTATGACCATCCTTATGGGTGGCTGAAGTCACTAAATGATAAACAGGGATGTTATAGAATGGATTCCCATGTGGGAGGAAGTTAGACTAGAGATTTCCAATGTTCCTTCCAATGTTCCAATTCTAAGATGTTTCACCCATTCAGCCTTTCTGAAGCATTACAGACTGACTGACTGCAGTTATCCCTTTCACACTGCACTGTAATTTGGAAAATCTGCCTAAAACTTTTTGGCCCTCCCTTTGTACCAGAGAAGAAGTCGAATTTTTTTTTCTTTTATGAGGTGTTTTCTTTTATGAAATGCATATATTTTATGCATTTCTGAGTTTCTAAACTTTTTCTGTGTCATCTGCTGGACTTTGCATGTTACCTGTGGCTTCCGCAAACTCCAAAAAATTCCTATTTAATTTCTTATGCCAACCTGTGATATATCAAAACTATAATGTAGAAGGGATAACTGTACGTATAAGAGGATAACTTATCCTCTTAACTTGTCTCATGGCCCACAGTCTCTTCCTTCTCTTGTCTGTTGTGCATACTGCTCCCACATTAATATTCCTTATGCATAGTACTAATCATGTCACTGTACAGCTCTAAAGCATTTAATGGGCTCCTATTGCTTACAAAGTTTCCTGGAGAAGGGGTACTGAGCTGTACCTTGAAGAATGTTAATAGGATTTGGACTGGCAAAGAGGAAGTTGTTTTAAAGGGAGAGGAAGGCTAATCTAAGCAAGAGAATCAGCATGAGTTACAGTATAGAAGTGGGACTGAGCATGATATATGCAGAATACAATGTGCCTATGCACATTGGAGAGGTAAATGCTGAAGTGTGGAAGTCAGAAAACTAGGCCAGTTACTAAGAAGTCTTTGGATAGCAAGACAGGATTTTGTCCTAATCAATGGGGAACCAATGGAGTCTCTTGATCAGGGGAATGACATGATCATAGATCTATGCTATATACTGGCAGTGGTTGTATGAGAGATTGGGGGAGGGGGGAGGGGGGAGCAGTGTGGAGTCTGGAAGCAGGGAAACCAGGCAGGTTACTGTAGTAATTCAGGGTTTACATTAGGGTGGTAAGTATAACATATATGGAAGTACAACTTCTTGGATGTCAGTTCCTTTTTAAGATACTAATACCTTAAGAAACTGGTACTGATATGAGGAACTGTGAAATTTCTGGAAGGCTATAGTGGAAGTCAGAATAACAGGGGCGGAATGACGGTCAGTCAAATCTGTCCTAGGTTGCCCTCCAAGGTCTCAGACTAGATTACGTTCCTGAATGTGTGTCCTCACTCTGTTACATTTTTTTTTTTTCTCTTTCTAGTACAAGAAGCAATGGGTAGTCAATTAATATTCAGTAAACATTTATTAGGTAGACATGAAGCATCATGAGAAAGAAATCTGAAAATTCCTTGCCTTTAGCTAGGAATGTGATGTGAAGGTGGGGCATTCTTATCATCTCCTGGGGGGGGGGTGAGGTGTACTTCTATTGAAAATTTCAGGTATTTTTCTGGATAATTCTTCAGGAAAGACTGGGGTATGTTTCCCTTCACTATTGAGTAGATAAAACTCTTGTGGGTAATCAGTTTCTGAGAACCAGAGCAGAACCCTTGGGCATTCACTGAGCAATAAATGCCAGTTCTGTAGTCTTTTTCCCAAAGTAGAAAGAATGAGAGTAGTTACTTTACTACAGTCTAACTTTTTCCTTCCCCCAGAGTAAACAAGAAGTAGGCAGACGCACTTACCTGACATAGAGTGAAATTGGCACCACAGTGTTGAGAATGATGATGTATGACCAGAATACGAGGAAGGCAGAAACACCTGGGGAGTTGACTGTCTCTTCTGAAGGTAGATAGATCTGGAAGTAATAACCATTCTGGGTCTGCCAAATTCCATGCCCAATTGCCAGGATGGAACACATGCCAACTAAGAACAGGAAAATCTGTAAATTATTAAAAACAAAAATATTCAAAACCCCTTGCTTTGGCATTCCCAGACTGTCTCCTGAATGTCTTCATTTTAGAAGGTTTCTCCCTTCACTGCCAGAATCAAGAATAAAGGACCATGCAGGGCCATTGCAATGAAACCACTGGCACCAAAAGCCACTCACCACAGGGACATGATAAGAGCATTTCTGGGGTGCTAGTATTGAAAGATACTTTTCTAAGTTCTGCTTGAGGTCCTAGAATTTAACTTGCTATCTTCTACAGTTGATAGGTATACAGTTTTATGGGCCAGTTGGCTTTACTTCATTCCATTCACATTCTACCCCTAATCCTATCCAGCCATCCTATGAATGTGTACCTTTATTTATAAGGGGAACCAGGAGAGAGTGTAGATGGCTCTAGGAAGTTTATTTCCACTGTCCTGCTAGAGACACAACTCATATCCAGTGCATATCCTACTGCTGGTGGGTCATCTTTACTTGTGAAGTGTGGCACTATGCAGACAGAATGGTGTAGTACTATCCTGGCCTAGCCAGCAGAACCATGAGAGGCAATCAGTCCTGAGGAGCAACTCAAGTCATTTAGTACTGGTAACCTGGTATATTCTCTGAAGGAGACACTGAACACAAATGTAAAAGGTAAGAGAAAACTTAGGGCCGTTCCTCAGAGGCCTAAGAGGTAACTATTAGAAGGCAGTGGCATGATAGAAGAGGATAATCATGGGGACACAGCTGTTCACTTTGTCTTCACATAGGTGGTAATTTAGCTGCGAAAACTAGACTAATTGACTTATCTTAATTCTGGATGCTTCTATCCTAAGCCTAAGTCCAGGATGTTTCAACCTGTCTTCTTTTTCTGGTTACAAACACAGTCAACCTTGGAATTAGAAGGTCTAGTCCAACCTACTATTTAATGGAGAAATTCCTTCTACAGAATCTGTGCTTCAACCCTTTCTCTGACTTAGGAACTCAGAATTTAACCAGGCAGCCCATTTCATTACTGAACAGCTATAATTATTAGAAAGTTTTTCCTTGTACACAAATCAAAATTAGCCTCGTGGTCTGATTGTTCAATGCATCCTTATCCTGTTTCTGACTTGGGAGCCCTACAGCATGTTATTGATCCTCAGCATCTCTGTCAGCCAGTTTTTATCTTGACCTTAACTTAGTATCTATCACAACACAAGAACTGGTCACAGAAAAGAGGGTTTTCACAGAAGAGTTAAGTTTTCAGTTAAACTGCAACCTCACTAAGAGTTTCAAGATCATGAAACATGTGCTTTCTGCATCTCCGTAAGACATGGTTCCAAAAACAGGGGGGAAAATATAAGGGTGGATATTGGGAAGTTTCTGCCTCATCTAGTTTCAGGAGCAGAGGGTGCATTACATCAAATCACACTGAAAATATCACACAGAGCTGTTAAGTTATTAATGACAAAGCCAGTTTTTGAACATTCACTCATGTATTTGGTCATCTATCACCCATTCAACATTTATGGATATAAAGTACTATAGGGAATGCAAAGGTGAATAACATACAACCCCTAGTTTTAAGGCAAAATAAACAATACATAAATAACTACTGTCAAGTTTCCAACAAGCTATTAAAGGTCAGTAAGATATCGTTGTTTTAACAACCAAAGTAGGTGGGTAGTTGCTGCACAAGAAGTCAAAAAATGCTCTGGGTATATTCCTGTCAGACTATAATTTACCTCCAGCTTCTATACATTTGCCTGCATTGCCTCTAACCCTTCAAAGAAGACCTGCTCTTCTGTTCATCCATCCTGGTTTTGCTGAATTGTCACTCTGCTTGCCTTTGCCTTAGATGCGTACTTGTGCTGTCCCTTGACACACCACAACTGGGTGCGTCACCTCAAGGGAGACCTCTGGTGCCCTCTTCTGGAAACACAGAGATACAAAAGACCTGGTCTTCAACTGCTTACTGTCAGGACAGAGCTCTACCTCAGTCTGTTAACTACAACACAATGAAGTAAATAGTAAATGCTCTAAGAGTGCTATTAGTAAGATACTCTAGAAGGGGAGAGAAATTAATTCTGACTTGAGCGATCACAGAAGATTTCATGAAAGACATGGCTTTTGACCTGGATGTTAAAGTATGCATGGATTATAATAGAAATGGGGGTGTGTGTGGCAGGTGAGGGATAGAAAGGGAAGGAGATTGGTAATGCCAGGCACTGTGCTAAGTGCTGGGGATACAAAAAAGAAGCAAAAGACAATCCTTGCTCTCAAGGAGTTCACAATCTAGAAAGAATATGCAAATAACTATGTACAAACAAGTTATTTGCAGGATAAACTGGAAAAATCAGCAAAAGAAAGATACTAGAATTAGAAGAGATCATAAAAGGTTTACTACAGAACGTAGGATTTTGGCTAGGAATTGAAGGAAGTCAGAGAAGCCAGGGGGAAGAGATGAAGGAGGGCATTCCATGCATGGGGGGCAGACAGTGAAAATGCAGAATAGGAAAGTGGAATGTCTTGTTCCAAAGGGCAGCAAGAAGGCTCATTGTCACTGGATCCCAGAATAAATGGAGGTGGGGGGTGGAGTAAGGTATAAGAAGACTGGAAAGGTGAGGGTGGGCAGGTGATGAAGGGCTTTGAACACAGATAACTTTATATTTGGTCTTGGAGGTGACAGAGACCCAGTAGAGTTTATTGAGTAGGGGAGTGACACTCTGACAACTGAGTGGAGGATGAAGGGGAGTGGGGAGAGACTTGTGGCAGAAGACCATCCACCAGGCTATTGCAGTCCAAGTATGCAGTGATGAGAGCCTGCATCCAGATGGTGGCAGTGTCAGAGGAGATAACAAGGCATATGTGAGAGATGTTACAAAGGTAAAATTGACAGGCCTGGGTAACAGATTAAATATGAGGGGGTGAAAGACAGTGAGGAGTTGACAATGACAACTAGGTTATGAGCCTGAATGACTGGGAATATGGTAGTGCCTTTGACAGTAATATGGAAGTCTGGAAGCAAAGGGAGGGGAAAGGATTAGGGAAAAGATAATGAATTCAGTTTTGGACAGGTTGATTTTTTTTTTAATAGCATTTTTTTTTACTCAATTACATGCAAAAACAATTTTCAACATACATTTTTAAAAATTTTAAGTTCCAAATTCTCTCCTTCCTTCCCCCTCTCTTCTCCCTCTCTGAGATGGTAAACAATCTGATGTAGGTTATACATGTGCAATCATGTAACACATATTTCCATATTAGTCATTTTGTGGAAGAAAACTCAAACCAAAAAAAAAAAAGTGAAAAATAGTAGGCTTTGATCTGCATTCAGACTCCATCAATTCTTACTCTGGAAGTGGATAGTGTACACTCCCAGACATTGCTAACTATGGATAGATATACTGCTGTAAAAACCTAAACTTGGCTGTTCTCCAGAATCTAAGATTTGTAGTTACTAAACCTCAATCAAATTCAATAGAGCTAAACCTTGGGACACCTACAGTCAGGACAAATTAGCCAAACAGGCACGATGCTTATACAGGGGCTTCTAAATCTCTTATCAGCTGATGACAAAATTCCAACCTCAGCAAGTGAGTTTAACACTTAGGACCAGGACTATCATGAAGGTACTCTGTTGATTCAGTTCCAGAAGAGCCTTAGGGATTTTACATGAGCTTGCCAGGGTGACGATGGCCATGATGTTCTCCAGACTTAGGCACCCTTACTTCCAGGTCAAGCACCAAACTCAATACCTTGGATCACCCAACAACCACCACATCCTACAGCCATAGACATTTTCTTCATTAACTAAGTTTAAATTATCAAAGATGAGAATGTTCTGCCCTATTTTTCCCTGGCAAAAAGGAGCACTGAATGAAGTTGAATTTTTGCTTCACTAGAGACAAATGGGGCACTCAACCAGAGTGAATAATTAATGAATAGTGAATTATTAGTGAATTATTTCATTTAGGAGGAAAACTTGCCAGGATATATGTAGTGAGATATCCAATGGACTAGTCTGTCATTTGTAGTATTCACTTGAAACTTGGCACATGCCATCTGGCATTTCTGTTTATGTTTTTAGGTACACATCCTGTCTCTCCAACTAGCCTCCAAAGGCTAGGGACTCTGTCTCTATTCCTAGTGCTTAAAGTGTCCTAACAATGAAGCTCTCTTCCAATACCAGCCTTGAATAAAGAGCAGTCAGTTGTCAAGTTATGAGCAAGTAGGAACAGCTGTGTCTCAAGGCTGCCAGTGTGTGGGTTTGGGACATACCACAACCCACAGCTTCTACTTATTCCATGGTTTTATTTAGAGACTTTAGAGCTACTGTTGATATTTTTGGAGGTTGGAAGGTAATGTAGGTATGGTAAAAGAAGAACTAGCATTAATGTGAAGTTCTTGGGAGTCTGAAAGTTGGTCCTCTTTGACAAAGGGAACATGGAAATAGTAAAGGAGCAAGTGAGTGACGATGGGAGTTTAGAAAGTGAGTAGAGTAACTGAGTGGAGAAGAACATTTGTTGTGTGAAATGGGAGAGAAAGACAGTGAACTGAGATGCTGAGAGCCTGGGCAAATGTGGAGCTAGTCAGCCTTAACTTCATTGAGCCCTGATTGAAAGAGTGCTGGGCACTAGAAGCTGGGTCCTCATGTCCCTGCCCCACAGCAGGTATACAAGGCTGCAAGAGCAACGGTGGTAACGAAATTTGGTCATTCGTCTGAGTCTGACATTTTCTGAGCACTTTCTAGGCTCTTTTGGGGAAGGAAGCTTGTGGGAAGGACTGCATGCACATGGGGTGTGTATTGTGATAGCATGTAACTGACCTTTGGATATCTGTAGAAAGGTTGTGTAATTTCCTAGGTTAGGACACTGTGAGTCAGTGGAATGAATGTTGCAGGTGAAGTCAGAAGATCTGGGTTTAGATCTTGGCTCTGCTGCTCACTAGCTACTAACCTCTCAATACTTTAGTTTCCTCACCTGTAAAACGAAGGGGCTGGGTTAGATGACTCCACTTTCTCCCAGAAG